CGGTAGACCCTTTGACTAATGACCTCCTGCCTGAAATCACAACAATTGGCTCCTAGTGGTGTTATCGATGAGATCTTATTACAGCCGTACATTTATTAGTAGCTCATGCTCAAAATGAACATGTGAAGTCGCCGGCTTCCTTTTATGGAACATAAGGACTTATTTGGGGCCACTCTCTTGGAAGTCTAATGAGTGAATGATAAGACCATTGCTCGTAACCACTGTGTCGCAATTTCGGCTTGATGATATTATGCTGTATCGTCCAACGTCTAAACATTCTAATCTAGTCGCCGTGCCATCGTCGCACTACCTTCTCAAGTACGTTACCTCAATGCGCTGATCACTATAAGTGCCATGTCCCATATTAAAAAAATACATTCTGTTGGTTCACATGCACTGCTCCTATGTTATGCAACCGAGTTCTAACTAAAGAAAAATTGTTTGAACTACCACTGGAGACTTGTGCCTCATGTTTAGGGAATCCGTCTTATCTCCCAAACAAAAATATATTTTTTGAATGGAACAAGTATTTCTAAAAATCCCAAGTGAAGCTTGCGATTGGTTGACTGGTTCTTGTTCATCTGATTGATACAGGAATGCTTATTCTGTCATCTTTTGTTGCGTGGACGTTTAGAATAGCATTTCTCTCTGACATATTGACTGTGTTGACAGGTAAAAGTTTGAATGCCAGTCTTTCATTAAAAATGTTCTTTTCATGAAGTCATAAACTGGTTTTCTTGTAAAACCAATGTATGTACGTTATGCTGCCAAAGGAACAATTCTGGCAAGACTGTGTAGATGCAAATCTTATCACAAGCTAACTAAGAACTGTGATAAATGAAGTCAACAAATCTTTGGGTACTTTCTAGCTGTTGAGGAAACTTATGAGACAGAGGAAACAGTATGACTTAATTCACTCGACTGCTGGCGAAATATTTTTACTGATTATTTGGCTGTCTATGCGGATCGTCAAGATTTACTGTCAAGGGGCGAGATGACCCAAGTGGTTAGAGCGCGAATCTACTGATCGGAAGGTGAGTGGTTCAAATTCGACCTCCACCTCTCGACTTCTCCTGTCTAGGCTTGGGCAACCTGGAAGTATCCCAGCCAGTGTGCTCCCTATAGATGGCATGGCAGCTAGGCACTGAAAGGGTGCTACAGTCGAAAGACTTTTTCTTACTGCCACGGGTCAGATGAAGTGAAAAGTAGGGAGATGTGTTATGAAATCACAAAGCAGATTCGATTTGGCTTTCAGCGCAGATTTCCAAGTGGTGGATAAGACCAAAACATCTCCTGAATCATAATGTGACATGATTTTGCCGATGACATTCACATATTCCTCTTTCCCTTCTTTTTCATGCTTAAATCAAATTTCATGTTTGAACAAAGAATGAAAGCGTCATCGCTCCCGGGATGATCGTACAATCTGCACCAAAATTTTCGGTAAGTCTTGAATTCGTTTCAGAGCTACGCATCGAACGATTCGTGATTTTTCGATAAAATGTCACCAAGAAGATTTATCCTAATTCGAATTGCACATTATCATATTCCGGTCTGATGCGCGAATCTAAAGAAGTTTCCCCACATTGTGTTCGTTCATGATAAATGAATATTTATTGGAGATATCATCTGACTTGAGAACTAGTCTTTTCAGTCCCGTCATCCTAAGTTTCTACCAGGGATGAAGAAAACTTCCTTATCTTAGCAACAGTGTACTCGGACTGTGCTAAACGTATACCATTATCTTTGGGATTCGCTATGCAGTACTATTCATTCAATGAAGCGAACAACACATTAAGTACTAAGAAAACGGATCACCCAGAATCTCACGCTGAGGAACAACTAGCACTGGGCCATTGTTACTAAGTGAGCGGTGGTTCAGCACATTGGGCGAAATACGACGATGCTTGCAAGGGCGCGACAACTACCCTAATCATTCAAATAGTACGTGTACTGGTTTGGGCTCTGAAAGAACAGCTGATGTGTTCGCACTCGTGAGCTAATGGGAAATTTTTGAAATATGCATCTGCAGCCGTTGTCCCGGTAACGGACAACTCTAATCGTGCGATGGACGCAATGATTCATCTGAATCTATAAAACTGTGAGGTCGGTGTTGCCGACTCAGATTGTTCAGTGGAAATCATTCATTTTTTCCGTAGCTGCTGATAGACATTGTGTCTGCTATTGTTCCACTGACTAGTTCATGGCACAAGCGAACGCAGTAATTCCAAGTCTTTAACAAGTTCAAAAAATTCCCTGAAACCTAGTTTGAGGTAATTGGGAAGCCTATTATTGGCCTAACCATTAGACAAAGTGTTCAGAGTTTTTATAACTACTTGACATATAGTGCACCCACTTAATATCAAGCCGATCGGTTTGGAACTTCCGACCATGTAACCCGGAAGATTGTTAACCGTCCGTCTGGAGGTGATGTTTTGAACAAATTGCCCATATTCGATCATGTTCATTTAAAGTGCTCTGAAATTCTACTGGATTTTCATATAAACTGTCATTTTAACCAACAATCGTACCTACTTTTTTACACCTGAAATGACACAACAAGAATCAAAACAATGTGGGGAATTAGTGAAAATAATTGTCGCAAACAGCAGCAACAACAACGTGGTTCATAAATGAGGCTTGAAACCGTTCCAGATAACACAGTTTGCTTCACTGAGGCGTAATAATTGGACAGACATTTGTTTGTAGAAAAAGCCGAAAACACCGAAGGGTTGATATTCCTGTGATACTCTGCAGGATGTGGTATCTCCTATTGATGCAGGGGTGCATTTATTCGTGCAGCAACGGTAGAGACGGTAGTATGTGTATAGGTTGTTTATTTCCTGGTATCCAGTCACTGGTGTGGCTCGTCTTGTTCACATGAAGCTTATTTATGCAGAGTTTAAAGTCAAGCTATTATTGTGTACATTCTAGACCGTTTCTATACTGAACACTTTTCGAAACACTACTACTTGACGCTGATATCACATGACAAAGACATGGCAGCCTTCAAGTTGTTAGTAAATCAAATAATGCATGCAATTTATTGCTCCTTAAATCCGTTTTACGATTCTGCATTGAGGGTCCCTGGTTCCCATGAGACACAAGCAATGCTTCAGAGGTAAAGATGATAAGACATACCTTTTGATCGCAATGATCCGGTTTCTGGACAACCTACAGCTTGTCGCATCTTCCAGGTAGGTTACGATGTCACATATGTCGACAGTGAATTCCACTGTCAGATATACAACTCTGGTACCTTGAATGCGTTTACGATTACTAGTGAAACCTAAGGACACCTGCGTAATATTATTCAACAGTCAAAGATAAGGGTCGGTATGTTGGTCCAGAACGTTTCGACAAAACTACACGAAATAATTGCTTAAAGCGATATGAGAATACATATATCTCTTTAGTGCTTGCACCCTAGAGCAGGGGGCCCGAGATATGCGGGTAATTTCTTCACTTTTATTCGATCTGCCAAAGATGCCATCTAATCCAGATTTCCGGCTGTCACCCACACTGAAATAGTGGAGGGATGAAATTCCCCGATCACTTCTTTACCTCATTTTCAGGTATCTGATTGTGATATCTGTATGACTTAAACTCAAGCATTGCAGTTTACCGCTGCTGTGTGCTCAGTATAGGCTTAATTAATCAAATTGTGGATCATCGTTATTCTTGGCTATCCTTTAGCTACAAAGAATTCCAATAAGAGAATGGACGAATTTTCTATGAGTTTAATGTTTGTTTCACTTTTGCTAGGATAATGGCAGTGGGAATTTTTGTTGTTAGACTGCCTGAGAGCAAGCGTCTGTTACACCTCATAAAGGTGTTGGCAGATAGCGAAATACACTGACTTGCGTACGAAATTTGATGATGACGTGAGAATCTCCTGGAATCCAGTCGAATTTCTCGTCTATGGTGTTGTTAAGTATCTAAATGTGTCTCAGAAGGTCACCTTTTGGTGCATTTGGCACGATACTCAAGATATCCCGATACAGTATGTAGGCATAATGCTGCTGACCACGAGCCATCGATAATTAAGGTGAAACAACTCCATTTGCCCAGAATGTAAGAACAAATTTTCATGCTTATTCCAACCTCCAACATGGATGGCCACGGGAGTTTGTTAGACCTCCATCAATTGAGTGACCCGGAAGGAAACATTTTGTGGATGCTGTACGAGCATTCTTCAATACAGCTAAATTTACGGCGACAAAGATTTCAAGTAACGATACTGTTCTGTCTGTTTGCGAAACAACAGTTAAGTCATTTTGTTGACCTTCAGTATCACGGTACACAGTTCGTGGAAACGACGTCTGACCTATTTTTCCTTGGAAAAATAGCGAAAGGTTGAAAACAAAAAAGCGCAGCAGAATTGATGCATCCGACGGCAGGTCACTCAGAGATTTCTAAAGTTAGGATGATTTATTGCAAAATGTGAGTCAAACGGATATACGAAGGCAGATAAACTCAGCTGACAACATTCTTCATTATTTTTATATTTTTCTCGGTCAGGTAATGACTCGCCGCCAGGTATCCACTTTAGCTGCAGCCTTATTTGCAGATGTACTTACCTCTGACGTAGATTTTTTCCAAGTCATCAAGAATTTGGGAACAACGGGTAGAATTCTGAAGTCCAGCTGCTCCGTCCACCTCGATCATTCATCTTGCCGCCCTTTATCCTCGATATGCAGATATTCACGTTTGTCTTACCCGCAAAACTTCGGAGAAAACACAGTTTGTTGTTACCTAATTCATCACCATTATCAGCTGGAAAAATCACCTTACGATACAGTGGTTGTAGCTGCCACAATTTCCTCCATCGATGAGTTGGTAAAGTAGGGGAGAGAAGAACCTCGAGAAGAACCTGCCCATTGCCAGCTAATGGTTTTTTCGGTTTAACTGGACGTTTATAATAGTGTGATTAGATGTTGAGCCTACTCGTCTTTTTTGGGACTTGCCATGTGGACTCGGAAAGACCGGATAAGTGATAGTCAAATGGACAGCTTTGAACCGAACATCCCCATTCCTGACAAGTCCACTGGCTGCACAAAATGGTTTTCGGAGCCATAGTTCAAATTGTACAGCCTCACAGTGTTAATCCGACGTTTCATTTCCGATCTATCCATGCTCACGTGATAATTATTAATAAAGTCGATAGCGGAAGTATGAGTGAGATTTTTGACACCCCACCAGACATTCGCAATGATTGGAGTTGAAAAATGATATTCCGATGTCACACTATTTTTGTCCGTCCTACTCGAATCGATGATGAGAAACATTTGAAAGTAAACGTAACAAAGCTGTTGAACATGAGAAGCAGTTATTGACCATTGCTTCAGGTCATCCGACCTGAAACGACACGAAATGCTGTTTAAGGACATGCGGTAGTAAACCGAAAATCCAGTGACCTGAAAAGGAAGTGAATATTTTTAAAGCGGTATTGCTTCATTGATCATTCCAAAACAGTCATCAGTTTGTAGCCACAATAGAAAAATCTCAAATTAAAAATGCAACCAAGAAATTGCCGATGCACCCAAGGCCCATATCGTGTCGTGTATTTTACATTATCTCAATCATACAGAGTGCTTTCTCCGCCAATAAGAAACTAGTTTACGTCTTCAACTCAGATTACAAATTCAACGAAATGGTGGGGACGCATGAAACATATCTCTATCATGTACACCCGGTTAATTGTACCAATTTTTCATCACAGAAACGATGCTTATAAGGTGTCTAAATGGTGACCTCCACCATCATTCAACTACCTTTCTCGCTGCCAAGGTGGTAAACTGATTTAGTGGTTGCCTTGGCCAAATAAATAAGACTACCGATAAAAGATCACAGAGAATCTATGGAGCACCATGTAGTTAGACCAAAATCAAGCACAATATGAAGTTGCAAAAAGCTTAGACATTCATGGTTACTTGTCCAGAATTAACATCGACGCTTTCATTGGGTAAATTCGAATGATGGTAACGAGCTGAAATGCCCGACGCATGAACTACTTTTGGCATCCTTAGCTGGAAAGCATATTAAAGAGGCACCGCTACGCCAATAAGGTTCAACTACATTTCGGAATGTGGTGACCAAACTTTTTGGTGGTAGTAATACGAGTACTATTTCGAAGAATATTGGAAATGCTTTCATTAGCGTCGGATTGTCTCACCTAAAGGCTTTTCTCTTCTCCTTTGTATAGCTACTCTTAATATTTCACAAACCGGACAAGCAATCACAGCTTTTTGAGGAAGCTGCTCAGAAGCTGAACTGCTCATGCAAGCTGATTATAGTGAACTACAGCACAGTACAGGCGCAAATATCAGAATCAGACAGTTCCTGTTGGATTTCCAAAGTGAACCAAAGTGGGGTACGTTTACACATAATACCATTCACTATCGCGCCGTGCTTTAAGTTATCAACCCGTTCAGTGAATACCCGTTGGATAGGATTTAAGCCCTTTTTCAGATTCGGCTTCAAATGTTTCAGTTACTTTTTCCAATTAGGATTTGGCGTAGTTAGCATAACGACAAAAGCCTAACGCCACGCAAAAGTGGGTTATGATAAAATTGTCTGTGCGACTAAACAGTTGCAGTGGGCAAATTATCCAACGGTCGATTGAATGAGGGACTTTCTAACTGTCCTCATGCTGAAATGATTATATTACTGCGTGAAAACCTGATAGCTTCGCCAGCCATTTTGAGGCGCTTTATTTGTGTTTTTCAAATCTGTTTTCAAATCCAAATAAGATTAAAAGTGGAATGGTATTCCTGATCATGATAACGTGGCAGGAGGTTCAATAGGCAAGAAAACACGCAAAGTTGTTACATGAGTGGATTTACGGCGTCGAAGATCGTGACAGATTTCCCTATCTGTTAGGTTAATATGAGTGTATATACGTTTGTCCGTACCGCAAGTTTTGATGGTTATCTTCATCAGACACTTGTTCATGTCAGTTGAGCATGTGTGCTTGCTAGGTTGTTCGAAGGAATAGTTTGGCTCGCGAATTACATTGATGTCCGTGGTTGGAAACTGATGTCCAGCTGAGCAGGTGACACACAAACGTCTGACGCACTAGCAAACGACTCACAAGCTAGAGGCCTTGATGCTTCACTGAAGGTTGGAGGAAGAGGTTGATGGATACTCTGAACCGTCTGAGAGCAGTTTCCTTATGAGGCTGTCCCAAATTGGCTGCCGAAGACTGTAGCAAGAAGGGGCTCTCGGGGCACATTTTGCTACAACTTAAATGTTCTTGGGAAGAGCAACAATGAAATGAAGAATTATACTGCCAAAAACACCTCCATGTCTTCCACGATATGTATACATCAAGTGATGGCCCGTGACGGTAATCCACGGCTAACGTTCTGTTGTAGAACCAACTTGCGCCCAATACCACCATTGCAGCCTCCGATAGAGACTAGAATTTGTGCCTCTTACATGCCCGCAACTTAGGAAACTACAGTCTTTGTAAAACCAAACATCATCGGTATGGAGAACTGGACATCCTACTGGAAACTTTGGGATGAAATGTAGATAGAGATTGAGCCCCACAACTTGCTGACTTTCCAATAACTGTATTCTACAAAGCTTGACAGATAGGTGATTGTTTAAATTACGGAACTGTGCGCCAAAGTTTTCGTTGCCACAAATTCCTGAGTCCAAGACAGTGTCAGAGCTACTTGTCTGCATTGTGGCAACGATCTGCCTCATGGTCACACTCCTACGTACTGGCTAGAATAATCCACACTATATATACAACAGAAGCATAGTTTAGCTGATTGCTGCAGTGCGCTCCCTTCAGTGTATTAAGTTAAATCGAAGACCTCAAATGTTCAAAAACTCACGTAACAGTTGCAATTGAGCCAAGTGGAGGGAGAAAATTGGCCATGTGATCGATTTTTTTGGTAATGCTTATCATGTCATACAGCTTTACTCTTTAGTCTGTTGAAGTGCTATATCAAAACCAAAACACCAGGCATGCCAACGCTGACGTATGAATTATAATATGGATCTGAGCGTTCATCTCCTGCGATACATTTATGTCTTGTCCTCAGGCGGATAGACCTAATTAAACCCCTTCAATTGTACGGATCATCGCTGTGGTGGTTGGTGTGGCCGTATGGCTATTACATAATGAGAGAGTCCTATTTCTAACCAGAATGACGCCAGTGGAGACATATTTATATTCGTGCTACTCGGTCAGTTAAACTGAGGTTAAGCATCCATACCACTGTCTCCACTTCGTCCACCATGGGGTGTACATTTATATCCAGTACAGGTGAACGTACGCTGTTGCTTCGAGCCCACGTCAGCAAGACACATCGATGGGGCAACTAAATTACGTTTGCGACGTAGATTGATTTGTAAAGTATCTTCTTCTTACCGGAAGGCTCAACCAAATTCAGCTTAGACTCGCATTCATAATGTTCTGCAAAAACACGAGACAAACTTTGTAGATCGTCCACTTGAAGAGAGATGCAGCTAGATTCGGTTGCGTCTCTCGTCAAAACCATATTAGTGCACAAACAAGTCCATTTCGCGATTTGTGTGCAATTTGGGCTGAACTAAAACACAAGGTTGATGGATACACTCAGCTGCGTCTAAATGATGAGCCTAAAGAAAGACGAAGGCGGCCGTGGGTTCTCGGATAATGTTTAGCAACTTTATTTGCGTCACCAAATCGCCTAGCGATCAGGTGAGTTCATGTTTCATGTGCTTGTTAGACATATCCAATTTCGAGCGACGCTCGGGTACCACTTAGAATTATTGAGATAATAAAAGTTGATTGATGTGACTACCATGGTCTGTTTCCTCGCTCGTTTGCCGAGTCCCGTGTTCATTAACGGGACTCGGCAAAATCGCTTCCAAAATGTTTAATTTTTATGCTGCTTCGGTGTAACAACTAAGCGCCACGGTCATTTTCTGCGATTCGCATTCAGAGTTGTTAAGCTGTTTGTCCTTTACTTCCGGTCAGACATTTATTCTACTCATTCTCAGCATCAAAATTATCGACTTTGCCGCAAATTAACTACTGGTATCTCAAAAGCAGATTTTACCACCGATCCGGTCATCTGACTGGCCGCCTTTCAGTCTCCTGGACATCAATTGCGTGTTTGCAACACGCTACAAACAAATTATCCTGGGAAGTACGAGCGGAAATTGGCACAATTTTCCATTCCAGTTAACCTTCACTGCAAAACAAACAACGAGTTTTGCATCACCAGACATTTCGTGCGCTGTTCGAATACAATAACACCGGGGAAATTTTACCATAATATGTAGGCTAACACGTTGCATCGAATTCCTTGGTTATTTAAAAATCAGAGGTTTGTACGTGGAGGACTATTGTGCCAGACACTATGATGCGACGGAGACAAAACTCTGTCGCATGGCTTTGATCAATTTGTGGAGCAGTGAAAATATGCAAGTGGACGTTCAACCACCAGTTACACACTCGGTCCATAAGCAATCATCTTCTATGCTACATGCAGTCAGAGGTTGGACAAAACATAAAATCGTTGCTTGCAGACTCAGTTAAACGTTTTACTTGTAAGGAAATTTAGCTGATCCGTCACAACTATGGAAATGCTGCCCGCTTCTGGTTTGCTTCTCATCAAATTCTAAAATGAACATTACTGGAACAAGTACCCATGCATAAAGGACTGCATCAGGTTGATAAACATTCCGTTTACACCTAAGCCATGATCGACTTGATGCTCAACTGATGTAAAACCATGAGGGCACACACCGTAATTAACGAGGAAGGATGAAGAGTTGCTTCCAAAAACCCTTTATATGTAGGGGAAACTTCGAAAAACTAGGTTTCTCTGCCTTCCACAACCATTGAGACAAACACGAGAATACCGTTTGGAGCAGTAGGCCATCGACGGAATTGATTCACCACCACTTGTGGTCCTCACTAAAACAAAGCATTATTTGATAGATGGTGGTGGGTGGTATCTATCTCCTTATCTGCTCGATTATTCCTGGATTACATGGCCAGTTGTCACCTGCTATACTTCAGTGACTGCGGTGGTCAAACACCTGGATACTTTTGGGGTCAATAAACAGGTCATCAAGGATAAGATTTCACACCCATGGAGTAGAATCACCCCAGCGATCGTTTTGTGGACACCACTATTTAAATCTAGTGGCATTTGTTTCTGGCATCAAATATCCGCATTCTGGCGTCTTATGCCCGTCCCTCGATGATGTCTGTATTGACTTCATATGTCACAGCTGCTACGATAAGTGAGCCTTTCAGCTAGGCCAAACACTTCAATGAGAAGTTTTAAGGGTTGCTTGGGGGCTGAAACTCCTCAAGTAAGACCTTGCACACTGACATTGCAGGCTACATGCCACACGCTACATCACCTCCGATATTATTTTTAGGTTAATTCATACATGCGCAATATCGTCATATAATGGAACAATCTGGTCTGTATAAACTAAGTCTGTGAAACTTTCTTCAGATGTGATTCTTATACACTCATTTGCTGTTTTTTGAGACAAAAAATGGATGTAGAAATATCTTGGATAACAAAAATAAATCCTCGGGGTTGTCGTTCATTCCCTGGATGAAAGTTCAGGAGATCTCACATAAAGTAGCATCACTGAGTCATTTCTGAAATAGACCAACTTACTTTGAAACAAAACCAAGCTTTCAATTTCACAAGACACAAAAACCTAGAGTAGTGCGGAAATACTGTTAGTCAGTTTGTTGTATCATTGTGGGTGACTTAACCGTTATGCTGTGAGCTGGCCTTCGTAGGGACAGTTGGAGTGATTGTATGTGATTCAGAGACATTTCCAGACCATAGGTTGACCGTATTGTCCTGCTGTTCCAATGACAAGAATGCAGTGGTGTATACTATAAATCTAAGTAAGGAGCTTAGCTTCAGGGCACATTCCTCTGGTCAAATGAAATGATGCAAACAGATGATGGGATTGTAATTATTCTGTGCAGTATCTGCATTCTTCTGCCCAGGATTAACATAGACACATTAAAGACAACTTTTTGCAAGAAGCAATTGACCGTACCGCTATGTTGTACACTGCGTGAGGCTGGTTCAGCTGAGTTTCAGTTTGGTGCAATGTAGCTAAGCTTATTGATTTTCCTATTCAAGTGCAAAATAAGATCGATTAAACTTCATTGATTGTGATTAACTGATAAATCATAAGAGGGTTAAACCGGTAGTGGACTGTTATAATGCTTAATTATCTGTCGTAATTATTAACGTATCAGCCAGTTTGGTTAATCCCGTTTGACAGCAGTAAATCAATCATCCCGTCACCAGCCCTTCAACTTACGAAATAACTGCAAGTTCAGGTAATTAAACAGTCCTAAGTTGTCTGTTTTGTCCATTTTTTCATCTATTTCCTTTTTTGAATCTACGCACTGACTGGTTTCAACCATTCGACGCTTATGGCATTAACCACTTACACTATCTACGAATGTTTATCTGCCCGCAAACTGATATTTACTTCACGGTATGGGATGAAATCGCATTGGTCAAAATGGTTCAATTAATGAGTTTCGGGCCTTCAGGCAACATGCATGTTGGGGAGAAAACTGAATTCAAATGTCATGCAGAGCCATATGAATGGGGTCATGAAAACAAGTTTTAGATATAAAACGCATCGATTGATCCCATCCTCTACATTTAGGTTGTTTTTAAAAAAATTCACATTGGGATGTTTGGGAAACTGAAAACTACTGAAACGCACAAATTCAAAAGCAGTAAACCGAAATTAAAAGACTGCAAGCGCGTTCTTGGGACGGTAAAACTGATGTCATCAATAACCGTTTAGGTCTATCCGACCGTTCTAAGAAACTAAATGTGTACATCCTGTTCAGTCTGTGTCTGCTAGAAGAGCGAAAAATGCAAGCGAGATTCGCATTTGAATACCGATGGTGATTTATGGATATCTGAATACTGCCGCTTGTGTTTTCATCATAACCATTTGGTGAAAAGAAAGCCCCACAGCATAAACAGCTCATCAGGACTATCGTAGCTCAGTCTCACTGAATTGTTGTGGAGTATTTGTACAAATCACTAATTTTTCGTAGGACTGATCGTATATGTGGCAACATGACCTGTGGCTTAGCTGCTTTCTCACACTGCCTTCGTCCAGCCGCTTTACCTAATTGTCATGTTTATGCTGAGAAAACCATTTGAAGCCGGGTAGAATCCCAGTCGATCTATATAGTCCATAGCTCACTATGCCATTTTCCTGCTAAAAGATATTGATACAAGATTTTTGTTTTTACAGTGTTTTATTCAGCAGCGTTGGTTTGGTCTCAACGCTGCAGCCGATATTCGTTTGCGAAACCATCACCATCATCATCATCATCATCATCATCATCATCATCATCGTCATCATCATCATCATCATCATCATCATCACTGTCAGCTGTTATAACCGCGTACTCATCGTACAGTGGTTGTAGCTGCTGCAATTTTTTGAGTATTGGGGGGGGGGTATGGATAGCTGCGCATTGCAGGCGGGGGCTGATTAATTGGTGCGAAAGCATCTTACGTTCTACTTTCTGTAAGCTCAGCTTGGATCGCTAGTTATTGGAAGCAAAGCTAAAAGACAACTGTGAAGCCAACATTATTTTATCACGGAAGATGGTAGCTAGCAATTAATGCCCTCCAACTCGCTCATTTCCACATTGGTTTCGGTCATATCATCTTTCCGAATCTCCTTCGTAATTTCGTGTATTGAAAGGATTGACAACTTATTCTTTGGAATGTATATCTGATTATCGATCAGATTAAATAACTGCTAACTTCTAACCTAACACAGCCACTGATATTTGATCTACCTACCTTATGTGATTTACAGCCATTCGACTTGATTATTATTGACCGGCGACGAAACATTTCCGATCCGCCGGTGCCTCCACATTCCGTCGCCTCACAGTACTTTTCCGCGCCAGCTGACTTCGTTCGACAGGAGTTGTGTGGTATACCTGAAGTCCAGTATGCAACAATTGCTGGTCTTCTTCCAAAACGAGGGTTTGTTGGTTATTCCTTTTGAAGTCTCTCGGTTTGAGTCCTTGTATTTTGCTTCTTAGGACTTCATGCTTTTCTACGCAGTCGGTCACGATGAACGCAAAATAGTTTCTCAAGCGGTAACCCTGGAAAATTTGTAGGTTATTCGTGTAATCCAAAACTCAAACAACGTCCCACTTAGTTGATTAAACTTGAAACCGGGTACTTCAACAACCGTTTCACAAAAATATTCACAATGTGATGAATAAAAAGCTCGCTTGTTAATCTGCCGATTGGTTTTATTTCCGCCAAACGGCGTATTTGGTTATGTGGTGAAATGAGCTTCACGACCATGCTTTTATGTGAAAGCAAATCGATGTGGCAAACTGCGTATGCATCCGGTTTGGGCTTTATCTTCAATCACTGAGAGGACTGGCGAAAACAAGAAGGTCTTCGCTGCACAGTTACCTGTTCGGAAATGCCAACTGACCGAACACTGAACAGGGAAGCAAAACTCTAATCTGCATCTTATTTAAAAAAAACTGGACACAGATCTTCTCCCGAACGAGTCTTCTTGAACGTTCCTGGAGATTCATTGACTGCACTCATTCGTCAGTTCAATCCAAGCAAATGTTACAAAGTGGCTCCACGAATTCCGCAACAGATCTCCCTTTTTCAATAGACGCAAAGCGACATTCTGCGAACAGCACATACTACTCGCGTCCCTCCCCGCCAGTAGTATCACCATTACACATCACCCCTTAAAGCTCGTTCGCATGCCATCGATTTTCATTTACCTCCGTCAGCTCGGCTTCGGCAGCGGGTACACTCGGCCGCTCTTCGGGTGTATCATGCCATTTGCGAAGCTGCGTCCCATTCACTACTTTCGATCCCCGGCCATCTTGAATGGTATAGACGTTCCCCCGGCGGTCGGTGACGACAAACAGCCCTTACCATCGACTGCCCATCTTCCGCGACCCCCAGTCCACTCGTTCCAGGATTCTGGTGATCCTTCCACTTGACCTTCGTGGCTGTGGGGAACGTTCGGACCTTTCTACTTGCCATTTTCTGCCTAGCCCTTTCCTGAACGGGGGTCAAATTTTCTTGAGCTCTCTTACATTTTACTCTAGCTCCTCCGGAGACAAGCGTGTTGCCGGCCACAACCCAATTTCCTGATCAACCGGAAGACGCGAATGTCGACCGTACATCAGTATAAACGGGGACTTGCCTGTGGTTGATTGCGTGGAAGCACGATGAGCTAATACACCATTGGCAGGTTCATTTCCCAGTCACCTTTGGCCGCAAGCCACTCCTTGATCGTTCGGTTATTACGTTCGGTCAGGCCATTCGTTTGCGGGTGGTATGGTGCCATCCTTAGCCGTCTGATACCCAGCTTCTGCAAGCGATTCCCAAACTCTTCGCTCTCGAAGCAAGGCCCCTGATCGGTTAGGATCCCCCATGGTTGGGCAAAATTTGATGCATTACAACTCCGCTGATCGTCGTCGTCCGCTGGTTCGGCACGGCTGCCGCCTCAATCCATCGCCATCATTACGATGTATTGGTTCCTACTGGTTGTCACCGGAAAGAGGCCCATGACGTCAACTGACCACAACACGCCGGTTTCTGAGACAGGAATGGGTTCCATGGGATGGGTTGCCCTTGTATTCGCTTTCATTAGTTGACATCGCTTACAGGACACCACATAATCCATCATCTCACTTCTCATCCCGGGCCAGTAGGCCCTCTGCCGAAGTAGGTCGTATGTCTTGGTGCACCCTGTATGTGCCATCTTATGGCATTTAACGATGAGATTCCGTCTCAAGACGCGAGGTATTACGGGCAGCACAACATCTGAATCAGTGGCGTTCCAGGAAATTATGCCAGCTTCATTCAGCCTCAGCCAATCAAAGTGACTCTAGAACGCTTCCAATTCCTTGTCTCCCTCTCCGTTCTCAATGTTCCTTCCATCCAACAAGGCGGTTGCAACCTTTTGTAACACCGGATCCTGCCGTTGGAGTTGCACCAACTTTCCGGTATCCAGTTCGACGACGAGGCCATGGGCTCCAATCATGATCTTGGGGACCTCATCTTCAGCTTCTGTCCTTGATAGCCAAACAGCCAAGCGGTTCTCCTTCCCGGGCACGTGCTGGATTGTGAAGTCGTACTCTTGCAACCGGAGTGCCCAGCGTGCAAGCTTCCCGCGAGGATCTCTGGTGGTCCTCATCCACTCCAGGGGTTTGTGATCGGTTTCGACATGAAACCTTTGTCCAAGCAGATGTGGTCTCCACTTATCCAGGGCCCAGACAATCGCTAAATATACCTTCTCAATGGTGCAGTACTTCTGTTCAGCGTTAGTCAGGACGCGACTGGCATATTCGATAACTCCATTCCTCTCCTTTAGGACCGCGCCGATGGCGCGATCACTGGCATCCGTTGCAACAATGAACATCTCTCCGACCCTGGGAAGTTTGAGGGTCAGTTGCTGATCCGACATCCGCGCTTTGACATGCACAAAAGCTTCATACGCTTCTCCGGTCCATTGGAATTTCCGATTTTGACCGACCAAATTGTACAGTGGAGCAGCGATCTTGTTAAAATCCTTAACGAACCGGCTGTAGTATGCTGTTCGTCCAAGAAACTGCCGTAGAGACCGCTTTGAATTGGGAACAGCACAATCCCTGATCTTTGCCAATTTTTCGGGCAGTGGGATAACTTCTCCCCGACCCACTTTATGCCCCAGCAGTGTCACCGAACTCCGAGCGAGATGTGTCTTGGCTTTATTTATCCGCAGGCCAGCCTCCCGGATCCTCTTCAATACAGCTTCCAAGTGAACTGCGTGCTCTGGTTCCGAACAACGATTTCGTCTCCGTACACGGCAACATTCTGGAGTCCCTTCGTTACACGAAGCATCAAGCGCCGGAATGTGAATGGTGCCTCGGACAAACCAAGCGGCATTCGTCTAAATTGATATTGGATGTCCCCAACCGTAAACGCCGTTTTCTCCCGGTCCTCCTCCTTGATAGGTAGTTGCCAACATCCGGAACGCAAGTCGAACACAGTAAAGTATCGGGATTGCTGGAGGGAATCGAGAATCTCTGCAACCGAAGGCACGGCCACAACCCGATTTACGGTCAGTACATTCAAGCGCGGGAAATCCACGCAAAACCTGTATTTTCTGTTCGTCTTCTTACAAGCACAACTGGAGAATTGTACACACTGTTGGCTTCTTCGATTATACCATTCTTCAACATCTGAATCTGTCTATAGACCTCCTCCTCGAAAGCGTTCTGATGACACAGGAATTTCGTGTTCAATCCACAGACAGAAACCAAACGGATCCTCATCGCCCGTAAACAGTTCGGAATATTCCTCAACCACGGCCCGTATTGACGATACATTACAAGACGGAAGTTTTCGGACACACAGCTCCCTCACGACAGTGCCTGGATGACCTTCAAGCTTGATTGCGCTATACTTTTTCATCAGCCTTCCCTGCTTTAGGTCAATCACGGCATCTGTGCCATTGAGAAAAACAACTCCCAGTATTGTCTGCTCTACGTCTGGGCTGATCAGGAACGCGTACTGCACGGACTTTTCGCCTAGGCGTATCGAGTGCTTTGACAATCCGTCAATCTTTAGTCGATATCCGCCAACAGCTCTCATGGCTAGCGCGCACGGTCTTTGTTCCGCTTGGTTCCCTCTTTGTCTCAGCGATACGCCTGCTCCGGTATCAATCAAACCTAACTCCGTTTTCCCGTATACCTCGACAATGGTTTGTATGGTAGCTTGTGTCAGTGCGCTAGTCGCGACCCACCCAAGAAAAGAGGAGTACTCTAAATTTTTATTGTGTACAAGCGATCGGTTACGGGGACACTGATTCTTCCAGTGGCCAGGTTTGCCACACATGTAGCAACGGCTGGTTCGAGCGTGCCTGCGCGATTCCGTCTTCACGGCCGCCAGCTTTTCGGTGAGTTGTTCCACCATGGTTTGCAGTTCCTCCACTGACGAACCATCCCTGTTCTCCTGCGACTGCAACGTGGCCAGCGGTTCCTGTGGCAGCTCCCGGGCCAGACGCACCAGCTCCTCCACACGCAACTGGCCAGTTGCTCGTGCCAACCGCAACTGGGCACCAAGCGCTGGCTACACACCTTCGACGAACTGATCCGACAGCAACTGGTTTCGCGACACTCCGTCCAGTGTCGGCAAAGCGCGATCCAACAACTGCTGCTGGCCGACGAAGAACACGGTCGGGTCCGATTCGGGTGACATCCTGGCAGTCTTGAACCGCCTCATAGCTTCCCGGCGGTCGGCCGGCGTGTCGAACTTTGCTGAAAGGACTTCCTTCGCGGCGGCCCAGTCCATCTTCTGAGAGCCCCTTCTGGCCGCATCCAGGGTCGCCTTCGCCCGGCCCCTGAAGAGGGCCTTCAGCGCTGCCAACTCACCCTGGTAGGTCTCCAGCCCGGCAGCCTCCGCAACCTCCTCAAAATCCTCCAGGAAGGTCCGAAAATCCCCATCGTCAAGGGGTTGCGGCCACGGGATCTTCATTTTTATCCTGGTCACGGCACCAAATGAAAGGAAGAAGGCCCTCGCTGCGGAGTTATCGATTAGGAAATGTTCACTGACCGGTTACAGACCATTGAACAGGGAAGCAAAACTCTAGTCTACATCTTAGTTAAAAAAAAACTGGACACAGATCTTCTCCCGAACGAGTCTTCTTGAACGTTCCTGGAGATTCATTGACTGCACTCATTCGTCGGTCAAATCCGAGCAAATGTTACAAAGTGGCTCCACGAATTCCGCAACAGATCTCCCTTTTTCAATAGACGCAAAGCGACATTCTGCGAACAGCACATACTACTCGCGTGCCTCCCCGTCAGCAGTATCACCATTAGACTGGTATAAACAGCTGTAGATCCCGCATGTTCACAGCTTTACATCAGACGTACACAGCGTTTACACGCAAAGTACAACACGTCACACAAAGTAGTGACGGTTTTTGTCCTACGTTTTGGGAGTTGGAATGG